CTTATTTACTATTCATATCAAGTTCTTAAGAACCTAGGGTTTCCACATGCGTTAAAATCTTGACGTTTTTCAACCTTGATTTGCAATTTTATTCCAATTTTTTGTATAGACCATTGTCCGTTTTCCGTAATAATTACATATGTTTGTATTTTTGTATTAATTTAATATTATGTCATCGGTATTGCTGTATATATTATTTATTGTAATGCATTTAAAGCAAGTATACTTATTTCCATTTAAATTTAGGTTTAGATTGCAATCAGGAGTCAACCTGATTTTTGTGAGTGCTACTTCCATTCAGGTGGCACCATACCATCTCTATTTAATGATTTTCGCCCAGCTCTATATCCTTCCGAATAATACCAATCGTTCCGGTTGCTAACGCCACCTTTTCGGCTAGCTTCATCCTGAAATTATTTGAATTGCGCTCGACCTTGCTTGAGAACGGCCACTCTTCCTTGTAGCTTGATTAAGCCAGTCGAAGTCAGTGACGTCGGCGAGCCCTTCTGTTTTTTGGCGAAAGTTTTCTTAAAAGTCTCTTGAAGGATCGTTCAAAGGACCTCGCACATTTCTTATGGAAAATGGCTTTCGGCTAAATTTTCTGAAAATTTGAGATAATGTAGTTCTCGATGTCCTGATTAAAAGTTCTCATGGGACAACTCAATCCTATGATCAGTTTTTGAGTTATGGGTTGTCAAAATTGGCTTTTTTAGACTTCGAGATATTGATTTTTTTTCAACATATTTGTTTATATTTCCTCGATTAGCACATTTAAATTAAAAGTTTCTACTCTAAGTTTTAGGCGTTTTGGTGTCTTCTTAAAATGTGGTATAAAAGTTCCTACAGCGTCTTACACAAAATGGTGGCGGCAAAGAAATGTCAATTTAGAAAAAGTCGCAAATAACTAAATTCGATCAATTGTGTAGAATACAAAAACGAACGGCTAGATTTTGCCCTATTTTCAATATGTTGTTATCAAAAGTATACTTAAGAATACCTACTATAGTTTTGGATCCAAAATGTTATACCAGGTGTTCATTTTATGCCAGGGCCCCGGTGTAGATGTTAAATGCCGACTGCAAGCGGGTTTCAAGTTTAAATGCTGTTTCAATGGGCATTATTTATTGTTTTAAGTTTACCGTAGGAATAGAGTTCACTAAAATTGATATTGTTGACTAATGGGCGTTTGCACCAACCATTTTAGAATGGTGGGTGCAAACGGCCATAGTGTACAAAATATAAAATAGTCTGATGACTGACGAGTGTGTGACCTTTTTTAAAACTGTATAAATAACCATTCTCACAGATATAGCGTAGGAATAAAGAGTGCCATCCCATCAGACTTATGCCTATCTACTTAAACTAATAAACCTAATAATTTTTTTCACTGCCTCACTTTGGGCAATTAATCGAGAATCATATATGGTAAAGTATTGGGAAAACTGCTGGTTGTGTTGTATTTCAACTACCTACCGAAGTTCGGCATCCAATATATCTAGTATGAGGCAGTAGATGGATAGCGAGTTCTTGGTGCCTCGCCCGGTTGTCTTCTTGTTAGAATATTTGATTTCAGGACTAGGAGTTCTACTCGCGAGATACTATTTCTATTGTACTACTCGAGAGAAAATATTGTTGGTTTATCAAAAGTAATTCATTGAACATATCGGGTCTTCAATAAAATAACCAATCAAAGATTGCTATAGTTTTTCAAACGTATGTCTTAGCAATATTTTTCTTTAATTTTGTCAATGAGCTTAATGTCAAAATGTCATGTCAAAAATCCTGACCAATAAAGAAACAGTAATGCGACATACGTTTTCGTAATCAAAGCATTCTTCGATTGTTTTTTTTTTGAAGACCCGATACATTTTGCTTCTCAAATATAAAGCTTCATAGCTTTTAATATACTAAAGTGCTTTTGATAAAAAATATCGGAACTAATGTGTTTTACTTTTTCACACATTTACTTGAAGTAGAACTAAAAAACAGTAAAACTGGGGTCAGTTTTATGAAGAAGCGTAAACTCTTCCTCAGGTTACTTCTATTGATGCACGGTAAACTTAAAACAATGAATAATGCCCATTGAAACAGCATTTGAACTTGAAACCCGCTTGCAGTCGGCATTTACCATCTACACCGGGGCCCTGGTACAAAATGAACACCTGGTATAACATTCTGGATCCAAAACTATAGTAGGTATTCTTAAGTATACTTTTGATAACAACATATTGAAAATAGGGCAAAATCTAGCCGTTCGTTTTTGTATTCTACACAATTGATCGAATTTAGTTATTTGCGACTTTTTCTAAATTGACATTTCCTTGCCGCCTCCATTTTGTGTAAGACGCTGTAGGAACTTTTATACCACATTTTAAGAAGACACCAAAACGCCTAAAACTTAGAGTAGAAACTTTTAATTTAAATGTGCTAATGGAGGAAATATTAAACAAATATGTTGAAAAAAAATCAATATCTCGAAGTCTAAAAAAGCCAATTTTGATAACCCATAACTCAAAAACTGATCATAGGATTGAGTTGTGCCCATGAGAACTTTTAATCAGGACATCGAGAACTACATTATCTCAATTTTTCAGAAAATTTAGCCGAAAGCCATTTTCCATAAGAAATGTGCGAGGTCCTTTCTCTCTGTGGTTCGGAGTGCCATTTATGGCTAATTAAATAGATAGTTTATTGGTCCACTCCGCTATTTTTTTGTGGTTTATTGGAACATGCCAGGTATGTGACAAATCCCATTTTATCTTGAACATCCCTTAGGTTTATAATTATTTCTCCAGCCTATCTTTGTCTGCATCCACCTCTGGTGATGCCAGTGCCTGTATTGTGTACCAAATCATGTATTTTTGTGTCTTATTAGAAACTTAGTCAGTAGACAAGTTATTGTCTATTTCACCTTTCTTTTAATAAAAAGGGAGCATCAGTAATTTAGTTATCTGATAGGGTCCTACATCCAGGCCTAGTATTGGTCCAATACATTAAAGAGGCATGCTTCCCTAAACTTCATGTGCGCCTGAGGTCATTTTCATGGTCCCCGATGGATAGTGCCTATCGTTCCTGATGACACCTCGACTTGGAAGTATTGACCACAGGTTTCTTTACGTTTAAATTTTACCTTTTATATTATATTTTTTATTGAGCATTACCCAATTGGAATGTCTCATTTCTATGTTCAGTTCGTGGTTGGGTTGAGCATATGCATTTTCAAAGCAGATAGACCCAACGAGTTTTTTTTTTATTGTATATTTTTTATTGAGCATTGCCTAATGATTGGAATGTCTCATTTCTATGTTCAGTTCACTGTCCGGTTGAGCATATGAATTTTCAGATCAGATAGACCCAACAAGGTTCTTTCACATATTTTTATTGAGCATTATCTAAATGGAATGACTCATTTCTATGTTCAGTCCCAATTTAAATAAAATGATCGATTATTATTATGAGCACAATAATATTTAGTTAAGTGTAGTACTGGGTTGGAATCAAATTATTCTTACATCTATGATTCTCATTAAATTGACATCCTAGATTTTGTGATTTTTCATTGAACTTTTATTAAACATAATTAAGTGGAGAGCGTTGCTGTATTATTTCTTTTTATCCATAATATTTCAGATTTAATATTGGGGTCTATTTCGAGATTTGAGACCTTATAAATCAAAAATTCATGGCTCCCTCAGTAAACACTGCTTAACACGACCAGAAATGCTTTCCGATGAAAAGCTGCCGTAAGCAATAACATCTTTTTAATCCAAAGTAATTAAAAACGTTACAATTATATTGGATAATTTTGTTAAATGCGACAACGTTGATTTTTTACGTTAGCATGGCAATGCAGCTAGGTACTGCCCAATTGATTTCATCATATTTTTGACTTCTCTTTCTTTCCTTTCTGCTGCAACAAGTCAAGAAGTAATTTCTACATTTATTCTTCTTTTTCCGCATATCAAAACAAGTTATGATTATTGGTAATAAATAAATAAGTTGTTTAAAACGATTTGTTTAATATCACTGTCAATTTACTTTATCCTGGACATCCTACGATCAGTGTTAGGTACATCAGCAAACTACGTAGATGTTGCCTAGTCTGATAAAGGTGAAGACTCTACATCACACAAGTATAGCAATTCTCAAGGTTATTTGACTTCATTTATAGTCGAAACAAGAATGATTAAAGTTCCCTTACAGCATACCAATCTCCAATTTTTATTGACGAGAAGCTAGATTGTCTACTGCATGCCGCGATGTTGCCAAATGCAATTCATAATGAAGCGGGACATTTAATTTTGTTCAGGTTTATTATGTTAATACAAAATAGTTTAATGAGTTAGCTTCTTTGATTTTACGTTGATTTCTCAGATCTTAGATATTCGCGGAAAATGTGAATAAAACGGTAAAGATAGGCGTTTGATGCGTAAATCTTATTATCTTAAACGAGTAAAAATTGTATGTATGTATTTTCAGTCATGCTATCTTGAGAACGGTTCTAATAATTTTCTCGACAGTTGGTATTTGAGGGGTTTTAAACCTCAGGAATCTAATGGGTTTGGTCAAATTTTCCGGAAAACTCGTTTTCAGCAAGTTTTTCGGTGTTAAAAAATAGAGTGTTTTATATAGGAGTTTTTTATGCCACGCCTCCCGGCGATAAGGTGAGACAGAAATCTGCAATTTTACAGATTTCTGCATTTTGTATTGAGTTTCAGCCACTCATTACAAGATGGCGCCACAGCTTTGATGTTTATTTTTAAGCTTTATTTCTAGATATTTAGTTTTAGTTAATATTTAGAATGGGTGACATTTTTTAATAATTTAAATAAATAGTCAATAAATATTATAATTATTTAATTGGAAAATTTGGGAATATTGATACCGATGCAAAAAATCGGGCAGCCTTGCTAAGGGCCAAAAAAGAGGATAAAGAGAATTCTGTTGTAAAAAATCGATTCCAATTAAAAATGCACTTTTTATTATTTATAAATATAAAGATGGCGGGCGATGTAGATTCTGATTCAGAAAGCTCCGAGAAAAAAGGCCCGGACGAATTAAATTGTGGTGTGTGCAAACGTAAATTGGTGAAAGATGATGTAAGCTGTGTACTATGTGATAATGCTTTTCATAAAAGTTGTATAACACGCCTGAAATCAACAATAAATGTCACAAACGACAAGGTTATGTGTTGCCTAGGAAAAGAGGTGAAGGTGGAAAAAGTGGCTGTTTGTATTTCAAATTTACTGAAGGATCTCAGCTACAAAAACAAGGAAGTCTCTCTATTAAACGTTTTAATCAAAGAAACCCAGGAAAAAAATGCATTGCTACAGGAAAAAAACGATTATTTAAAGGAAAAACTACATAACCTAGAAGGTAAACAAACCCTATTTTCGGATGTTGTTCAAGGGAAAACTAGTTCAACCGGTACAGGAACCTATGTAAATAATATTCCTGCTGTAATAATCAAACCCAAAGGTAACCAAGATGTGAAAAGAACAAGAAATGAACTGGACAAAAGTATTCACCCAGCAAAGTTACAAGTAGGTATTAAATCCATCCATAATATAAAAAATGGTGGAGTAATTATTAAATGTACCACAACCCAACCAAAAAAGCTGCAGAAGAAAAACTAAGTAAAACATACTATATTGAACTAACAAAATTACAAAAACCCAAAATTAAAATAATTGGCTATTCTGGCAACAGCGAAGATAGAGAAGAGCTCGAAGATCAAATATGCCAGCAAAATGAAATTATGGATAGGCAAAACATTAAAATAAATTACATAAGAACTACAAGGGATCATAAAAAGACAATATTCGCAGAAACTTCACCAGAACTGTTTAGACGGCTTATCCAGATGAAAAAAATATATGTTGGATGGCAGAGGCTGCCAATATACGAAGACCTCACACTAATGAAATGCTTTAAGTGTCAAGAATATAACCACAAAAGGGATCAATGTTCATACCAAGTGGTTTGCTCACATTGTGGAAAAAACCATGAATACAAGGACTGTGATCAACAAACAAAATGTTGTGGAAATTGTGTCAAGGCAAATAACAGGTTTGGACTTTCTTATGATATTTCTCACACATCATATGATATTGAATGCCCTACAATGATATTTTATAAGCAGAAGCTAAAAGCTAAAATAGACTACGGATTATAATCACATCAATCTGTTTCTACTAGGTATTTGTCTCCTATTAATTTTTACATATTACTGTCTCAAATTTCTTTAATTTAAAGAAAGAGAGAATAAAAAATACAATGAGTGATGAAATAGTTATACTAAACGAATTAGAAAACGATGAAGTTGATCTTGATTTAATTAGGGAGAAACGTTACGATGTCAATGAGTTAAAAACACAAATGCAGGGTTTCTCTTCGAAAAATAAATTGCTGAACATTGTTCATTTGAATATTAGAAGCATTAGGAAGAATTTTGACAATCTTTTAACTTTTATAGAAACATTTAGCTTAGATAAACTAGATATCATTGTGTTAAGTGAAACACGACATATACAAGAAATAAAAAATTTTAGTATTCCAGGTTTTGTAGCTAACTATAATGATAGTTCAATTAACATCTGCGATGGATTGATAGTATATATAAAGGATAGCATTCAGTTTGAAATAGAGCACACAACCCTCGCAACCTCCAAAGTTACGATCACGAAGCTCACCTTTGCAGCGAACAATGAGCATTGTTCGCTGATGGCCTGTTATAGGTCTCCAAGCACATCAGATCATTTGTTCGTAAACGATCTTGACGCCTACCTGAATGAAATTCCTAAAACAGAGGGTATCAGTATTTTAGTAGGCGATATGAACCTTGATATTTTAAATAAAGCCAATACTATGAGTGTCAGATATGTTAGCATGCTTCTCTTTTATGGTTTTACATCAGTTATTAATTCATACACCAGAGTAACACCAGATAGTAGATCGTGCATTGATCACATGTTTGTACGTAAAACCGGCCTGCTGGAAGATATTGAATATAATCCTTGTGTCTTGGAGACTTATTTCACGGACCATTACCCTATATATCTGGGCATTTATTCCAACCAAAATCTTAACCCAAATAGTACGGAGCAAAACGAAGTACATTACACAATTTTCGAAAAAGAAAAATTTATAGAAATAATTAAAAATCAAACTTGGCAGGATGTATATCAAATCAGAGATGCAAGCCTAGCTTACCAAAAATTTATTGACATTCTAACCTCCACAAAAAATAAATGCACCTTGCACAAAAGTTACATAAAAAAATATAAAAAAATTAAGCCTTGGATTACAAATGGCCTGATTAGTTCAATCAGGACCAGGGACCAAATGAAAAGGAAATTACTGAAGCAAAAAAATAATAATACACTGAGAATTGAATATAAAGCCTTTAGAAATTATTTACAAAAATTAATTACTGCTTCTAAAAACAACTACTACACAAATAAATTACAAGACTCTAAAAAGGACATTAAAAAAATATATAAAATTTTAGCAGACGCATCAAATGAACCTAAGCTTAAGTCTAACCAAGATATACTTATCAAGGACTTGAATAACAAGGATTTTGCTGATGACAAAGCAATGGCCGACTACTGTAATCGGTATTTTTCTGAAATAGGCATAAGTATGGCAAGCAAAATTCCAAATAATACAGCAATCTTAAACGAAAAATATCCTACCTTTCTAAATTCTATGGCCTTAAGCCCTATTACAAAAAATGAATTAATAATACACATTGGCTCTCTAAAGAGTAGCAGTGCTCCAGGGAGAGATGGAATAACTTCCAAAATGGTGAAACTGTGTCATCAGTATATTGCTGATCCACTTGTATATATTCTTAATCTTATTTTTGCTACCAATGAAATACCTGAAGACCTTAAAACATCTATCATTACCCCAATTTTTAAGAAAGGATCTAAAACTGACATATCTAATTATAGACCCATTAGCTTAATAAACACCTTTGGCAAACTTTTTGAAAAGTGTTTGAAAGAGAGGTTATATGGTTACTTAATCAAGAATAAAATACTCAGTCATAAACAATTTGGTTTCCAGAAAAACATGAGCACAAATGATGCTTTATATAAACTTATTGAACATATTAAATATGGACTGGACCAGGGAAATAAATGCATTGGAGTCTTCATGGACCTTGCAAAGGCCTTTGACACTGTGCCCCATTCTGGATTGCTTGATATACTTGAGCGATATGGGATTCGGGGTACAGTGTTGGAGCTTTTCAATAATTATCTTCAGGGTAGAAGGCAATCAGTGAAAATAAGAAATTCCATTAGTGAGCCCAGTACTGTGCAAATTGGAGTGCCCCAGGGTACAGTGCTTGGGCCCCTTCTTTTTATCTTATACATAAATTCACTTCTGTCTTTAGACATAAAAGGTTTAGCCCTATCATATGCAGATGACACGATTCTCATTTTTGAGGACGATACATGGAATTCAGTCAAAACAAAAGTGTCAGATGGCATGACTATTGTGAAGAGGTGGCTGGACAAACATAAATTGTCTTTGAATATTGCAAAAACTGTGTATGTGGCTTTTTCTCTGACAGATGCCAACAGACCGATCTTCAATGAAATAACCATTGATCATCAATCAAATTTTACTATAAAAGAGGTCAAATGCACAAAACATCTTGGGATAATTGTAGATAAAAATCTGAAATGGACCCCACATATACAAAATTTAACAAATAAAATCAAAAGTTTGATACACAAATTTTATCTAATAAGAAATATCTTGAGTAAAGAATCTTTAATAATTATATATCAATCCCTTGTCGAATCTTTATTGTGTTATGGAATAGTGGTCTGGGGTGGACTCTACAATAACGCACTAGAAACTCTGAACACCATACAGAATTATATTCTGAAAATCATATTTAAAAAGGACAGGTTGTTTCCCACCTCACTCCTATATAATAACAAAATTCTTAATGTCAGATCTTTGTACTTTCATGCTAGTTGTGTGTTCTGTTTTAAACTGAAGGAAAAGGGTTATGTGGATCACCAATATAAAACTAGGCAGATGATTAACAGACACCTTACTGTCCCATTTCGTAAGTTTGATAGAAATCAAAGATGTAACTCTGTGTTAGGGCCAAAGATTTTCAATAGACTGCCTGGTTCCATTCGTGAGGCAAGGAATAGAAAAGCTTTCTCATTGCATTGCAAACAATTCATTCATGAAAATTATGAAACTTTGAATGATCTTTTGTAGTTGAAAATGTGGTTGGGGCTGTTATTTGTTATCTTTTTTTGTTTGTTTATTCTTTTTTTTCTTTTTTCATATTTATATTTAGTATAGAATGTTGAAGAACCGCTAATTATTGTTTATAATGTAAATTGATTATCTGCTAGAAAATTATCTCAAAGTTGTAACCAATGTTACCAGGGTACCCTGGTGGATTTTGGTGATACACATACAGGTGCTCTGCACCTAGGTGTACTGTATTTTCAGATTGACAACTAGATTAAATTAAATGGAATTATTTACTATGTAATAGATTGTATTGAAATTTGTATTTAATAAAGATTTAAAGATTTAATAAAGATTTATTGATCCCAGGCGCTTGAAATTTGTTGATTTTTCAAAATTATTATCGATCGGATTTTAAAAAAATTTAAAAATCGATTCTAATGGTGTACCTTCAAGTTATGTTCATGAATGAGACCTGAGACCATTACCCGATTGCTAGTCTTACCTTAAGCTTATCTTAAACGAGTAAAAATTTTATGTAGGTATGTATTTTCAGTCATGTTATCTTGAGAACGGCTCTTAACAATTTTCTCGACAGTTGGTATTTAAGGGGTTTTCAACCTCAGGAATCCAATGGGCTTGGTCAAATTTTCCAGAAAACTCATTTTCATCGAGTTTTGTGCTTAAAAATACAATGTTTTATATAGGAGTTTTTTTATGCTACGCCTCTTTTTTGTCAGGCCTCCCGGCAATGGACTCTTTCACTAATTTTTGAAATTGGCATATTTGGATAAAGCAACAAAAAACAGAATTTTCTGTATTTTTACTTTTGAAAAATTCATAGTCCTTCTTGAGAAAACAGAAAAATAAGAAATACCTCCAAATAAAAACCCAGAATTTATTTCTATGACGTCGCAGCTCGCAATTTAACCGTGTTGCCACTAATTGTCAACATTGAAAATTTGTAATAGATTTAATTCTGAAATGTTGGAAAAATATCATGAATAGTAGTTCAATTAATTAGTTATGGATTCAAGATTTTATAATTTTTTTTTTTGAAATTATGCTTAAACACAATTTAATACAATTTTTTATGTTTAGTTTGATTTTTTTTTACGTTGCACTACATTCAGTCACAACCGACAACAGCGCATTCGAACCTTGCTGTGCTTTTACAGAGCCCAACACAGCCGAGCCGGTCTTCTTGCAACAACATGAGCGGAATGGAAAATATTTATGTGACGTCAGCGAATCGGCGCGTTTTAAATGATTTTGAATTTCGCCACGTTCAAATGCCTGTAAAAAAACTTATTTAACCTTGTAGAATTTTTTTTTTGAAATATATGCCTAAAATAGTCCTTCTTTCGGGATTTTATACTTAAATTACGTATTCAAATTTTAGTGAAAGAGCCCATTTTTACAGATTTCTGCATTCAATATTGAGCTTCAGCCGCTCATTACTAGATGGCGATACAACTTTGATTTTTATTTTTAAGCTTTATCTCTAGATATTTAGTTTTATTCAGGCTCTAGGTGACATTTTTTAATAATCAAAATAAATAAATGATTTTCTAGCGACTAACCGTTTGTCACCGTGTTATAAACGGTACCTTACTGAAAATATGTACTTTCAGTTACCGGTTATAACACGGTCACAAACAGTTAGTCGCTAAAAATCCTTATAGTCCTAATAGTCAATAAATATTATAAATATTTGATTGAAAAATTTGGAAATATTGAAACCGGTACAAAAAATATGGCAACCTTGCTAAAGGCCGGTTGCTCAATAGCGAGTCACCTCCGGGTTGGTTTTAACTCCAGGGTAAACATGTAAAGTTGCAATTTTAACCCTGGAATTATGTTTAGCCCGGGGGTGACTTGCTATTGAGAAACCGCCCCTAAGGGCCAAAAAAGAGTGACAGGATAAACAGAAAATAGAATTCT